CTCAGAGAGGCAAACTGTCTTCCCCAAGGTTAGCAGGAGTGGATGGAAAGCAGATCTACAGGGCCCCAGAGTCCCTCAGGGCCCTGCCAGGCACCTGCTGTGGGGTCCTGGGGGGGGAAGCTGCAGGCTCAGTGAGGAAAAACCATCGGTAAGCAAGGGCCCAGCCTCTACCCAGCATCCTTCCGAAGGCCCAGCACAGAGAATTTCCATGGAGATCCAGTCTGTCTACCTGCCAGAGGGGAGAGGCCAGTGCCAGGCTTGCTGAGGACAAAGCCCATGGAAAGACATCTCCACTTTTCCCAGGAAGCAAGCCTGTGTTCGCCTAGAATCTACTGGGCGGGGAGAGCCTTCCCCAGGAGACATACTCACTGAAGAACATGGCAGCTGAGGGCAGGCCCCCAGCCTGAGGGCTCTGCCCACCCCCCGTCTCCTCCCCCCACAATGCAACATCCAGCTCAGAACTGCTGGCTGGTCTGTGGGGGGCAACATGAATGTGTTCAAGAATGTGAGTGCGCCCACTGGGAGCCCAGGCCATCAATGCCTCTTGGCTGTACCCGCAGGCATGGGAGCTAGGGGGACAGGCAGCGAGAGGGAAGAAAGGGCAGGGAGTGGGCCAACATGGAAAGAACCGGGGAATGATAGGAAGGAGAAGGGGTGGAGGAGAGGTGGAGGAGGGAGAAGTGAAGTCAGATGTGCAAACAGACGCAGGTGGCTGGCTACTGCAAGCTCCCCCCACCCTTCCACCCCCCACCCCCATACACACAGGGAAATTTGCATGTAGTGCGGAGGGTGTGGCCAGCCCTCCTGCCACAGGAGTTCTGGAATAACATGTTTCCCAGGAGGCCCGGCCATGGTGGTTGCAGGCTGGGACCGAGGCCTGGGCTCAGACACGGCCCTTCAGCCTATAAGGCTCTGGAGTGTTTGAAATGGACACTTGTGTGTGTGTGTGGGGGGGGGGGGGGGAGACACACGCTTTACACAGTGCCCAGCCGGCTTCTCCTGCCTCCTATTCTGCTCTATTTATTGAGCATCCAGAGGGGTGCCAGGCCCGTGCTGTGAGCATGGCAACTTGGCACTGACTCGTCCACACACTTGGAGGCAGTAGGGATTCTGGCCTCCCTTATAGCTGGAGGTGGCACAGAGAGGTTAAGTGAGTGGCTTACCCAAGTCACACAGCTGGGCACTTGCATCTAGATATCCGTCTGGTGCTTTTTACCCTCCCTCCCGCCACCCCCTATAGACCCTGCACTGAAGGCAGCACTGGGGCAGCACAGAGCGGGGCGGTTATAAACAGGCCTGTCCCCCCGCCCCAGTGCCAGGCCATGGGCTGTGCTGCGGGCGGAGAGAGCTCTGGGCCCTGCTCACCGCACGTGGCTGTGAAGTGGCTCCCTGGGCCTCGCCTTCTGGTGGAGGCTGACCTGCACCCGCCTGTCTGCCCACCAGGCCCGTTCCCTTCCACGAGGGGCTCAGCCTGTCATGAGGCCGAGTGCCCACAGCCAGTCCCCCAGGGGCTGCCCAGGAAAAGCACAGAACAGTGCTGCTCAGACGCCGTGGTGTCGCTGCGCTGCCATCACAGAGCCGAGACTGGCCCTCGGGCCGAGGGAGCCTGTGAGGGGTCTAGTCTAGAAGCTGTGCTACCCTGTTTCCTCGAAAATAAGACAGTGTCTTATATTAATTTTTGCTCCCAAAGATGCACTAGGTCTTATTTTCAGGGGATGTCTTATTTTTCCATGAATAAGAATACGGTACACATTTATTGTTAAATGAAAATAAAGGAAATTTATTACCTGTATACGGTACGGTAGTATGGTAGTTGTCAACACAAACCAGACAAACTGTGAATCCTACAGTATCAAGAATTTACTCATTTATTCAATGACAATCATGTCATCATCTTCTGGAACATCATCATAACAATCCAATTCCTGAATTTCCTGGTGAATTTCTTGTGACTCCATTTCTTTCAGAATCAGTGGACCAAATCTCTCATGTTTAGCCTAGGGGGTCCTTATTTTCGGGGGGATGCCTTATATTTCACTCAGAAGGAAACCTGTAAGTAGGCCTTATTTTTGGAGGATGTCTTATTTTCGGGGAAACACGGTAGTTGTGCAAGGGCTCTGAGGGGGGTGGAGTCAGGGTGAGTTGGGAAAGGGAAGGCTGAGCTGGGCAGAGAAGAGGGGTGAAGGCATTCCAGGCCAGAACTGCACCAGCAAGCAACAGGAGGTTGAAATGAGCAAGATGGCCACCTCCGTTCTCTTCCCTGGAAGCGCTGGACTCTCTGCCTGGAAGAGACCGAGCCATTTCCAGCACTTGCTTATCAGGTTGAATCTTTGCTGGGCCCATGTACTACCCAGACTATTTCATACTGTTTTTTCTTTGAAGTGATTCATTATTTTTAAACGTAGCCTCATTAATAATAGTATCTGTGAAATCATGGATCTGGCAGGCACGTTATATTTCTTAGTGTAAGTTAAAATAAACACATAATGACTACAATTAAGAACTTCACCCCTGGCCCAGCTGGTGTAGCTCAGCGGTGGAGTGTTGAGCCAGGAAGCAGGAGGCCACGGGTTCAATTCCCGGTCAGGACGCCTGCCTGGGTTCAGGCTCGATGCCCTGTGCGGGGCATGCGGGAGGCAGCCAATCGATGATGTATCTCTCTCATCGATGTTTCTACATCTCTATCCCTCTCCTTCCTCTCTTTCTAAAAAAATCAATAAAAACATGTAGTTTTAAAAACCTTTCACCTCTGTGCTGTGGAAAGGCCCCTGAGACTCCACTCTGGGAAGCTGATGTTATCCTGGTGCGGAGTCAAATACATGAGAGGAAGGGGCCTGCCTGAGCTCATGTGGCCTGGAGTAACCAGCCAGGCCACTTGCCTCACAGCAGGACTCCTGAGTGGTCCTGGGGAGCAGTCTGCAGGGAGGGGGGCTGCAGCGTGGGCAAAGGCTGGGAGGTAGGGTGGCTGGGGGTGGGGAGAGGGGGGAGGAAAGGTGAGGAGCCTCCCTCTGCTTCTCCCCATGGGCTCTGAACTCCTTCCTCCAGGAAAGGAGCCTCTGTGCCCGAGCTCCTGGCCTTATTTGAAGCAAATGCAAAGTGTTGTTTTCAGGCAGATCCCAGAGTCGGTTTCCTGGTTCTGTGGCTGTGTGTCCTTCTGTTCTCCTCTCCTTGGAAACTTCCTGGGAAGCAGTGAGCCTTCCCCTTTCCGTCCTGATACCGGGTGAGAGGCTCAGGGTGCATCAGGCGGTTTGGCAAGAAGGGGCGGCGATGGCTGATGGCACAGCCAGGCCGGAAGCATGTTCCTCTTACAGAGCATTTATTGAGCTCCCGCTGCCAGTCAGGCCCCGGGCTGGGTGCTCACTTGGGGCTCCTCCTGCTTGGATGTGTACCTGCCAGGGGTTCCCCTGTGACAGCATCCATTTGTAAGGTCCCCCATAGCGGGAGCTATCCTACAGTGAGGCCGGACTCCATTGCGGGCAGCCTGTGCGGTTCTCACCCAACCACTCACAACACAGCACGGGACAGGGTGCGGTGGGGACCAGCTGGTCGGTTGATGTTGGTTGGTTGGTTGGAGCCTGGGTCATGGATAATGGGCCGACCGGTGAGGAGCATCACTCCCCTCTCCAGAACAGGGGCTCCTAAACTTCCACCTCACTGCAGGGAGCTGGTGAGCATGGTCATTTCTGGGCCGCATCCTCCAAATATTGAATTCCATAGGTCTGGACTGGGACCCAGGAATCCGCATTTCTAACAGATAACATGGGAGGCAGGCTCAGCAACCTCCCTACCCCAGGTGATTTTGATACAGCAAAACCATGCCTAGCTGCTGAAACCGGTTTGACTCAGTGGATAGACCATCGGCCTGGGGACTGAAAGGTCCCAGGTTCGATTCCGGTCAAGGACATGTACCTTGGTTGTGGACACATCCCCAGTAGGGGGTGTGCAAGAGGCAGCTGATCGATGATTCTCTCTCATTGATGTTTCTAATTCTCTATCCCTCTCTCTTCCTCTCTGTAAAAAAAAAAAAAAAAAAAAAAAAAAATCAATAAAATATGCCGAAACCGGTTTGGCTCAGTGGTAAAGCATCGGTCTGCAGACTGAGGGGTCCTGGGTTCGATTCCAGTCCAGGGCATGTACATTGGTTGCGGGCACACCCCCGGTGGGGGGTGTGTAGGAGGCAGCTGGTTGATGTTTCTCTCTCGTTGATGTTTCTAGCTCTCTATCTCTCTCCCTCTCTGTAAAAATATCAATAGAACATATTTTTTTTTAAATCAATAAAATATATTTAAAAAAACAACTCCTCCCTCTCCCCAAAACCATGCATAGCAGTCTGCCACGGCAGGAAGTCTGCGGTTTCCAGCCAAACTGTGTTCATGGTCCACCTCCTTAGCTGGGTCACCTTGGTCAGGCCGCTTCCCCTGTCTGTGCCTAGCGGGGACAGTGATGATGACACATGGGTCATTTCTGAGGGGGCACTTGTGGGTTAGGAGCTGAGAGAATCGGAGGCAGAGATGATATGGGCGGCTGTTTGCCCTGTTCAGTTAGAGGGCCCCTTGCCATGGGCAGCATTCTCCCTGCGAGCGCCCAACCTCCCGGCCTGCACCTCCCGTGCTGACTGAGCAGTTTCTGGCTCACAGAGGCAGCGCCTACTGGTTGTTGGGTGGAGGGTCTGCTCTATTGCCTGGCACATCCCTCGGGAGAGAAAGGACGCTCCATCCTCTCTGGCAGGTGGGATGGGTGTGTGTACTGAGAGCAGGAAGTGTGTGAATACCCTCAGCCAGTCTTCGCTCGTGTAGTCCTTTATTTAAAAAGTAAGCCCTCTAGCACAGGGTCCGGCGCACAGCCCGGGAGGTTCCTTCCCCTCTCCCTGTCCTGAGGGCAGCACCAGGCCTGGGCCACCCCCTGCCTCCCTGGGAAGCAGCTTCTCTCCCCCGGCGTCCGGCCCAGGGCCTTCGGGAAGCTGTGGCCAGCCTGACCCTCGCCTCTCCCGGCCCTCACAGATGTCCTGGCGTCCGCAGTACCGAAGCTCCAAGTTCCGGAACGTGTACGGGAAGGTGGCCAACCGGGAGCACTGCTTCGATGGGATCCCCATCACCAAGAACGTGCACGACAACCACTTCTGTGCCGTCAACGCCCGCTTCCTGGCCATCGTCACCGAGAGCGCCGGAGGCGGCTCCTTCCTCGTCATCCCCCTGGAGCAGGTAGGTGCCCGCTGCAGCCCGGGGCGGAGGGAAGCCCTCTGGTCACTGCTGGGCGGCCCCCCCTATTTCTCTCTGCACCCCACCCTCCCGCACCACCTTTCACTTCCTCATCACGTGCCCAAGGGCTGTGCCTTCTCAGTTTTCCTGAGGTTCACCAGAACAAGCGTAGGGTTGTGTCCCGGAGACCTGAGGTCTCTTCCCAGACCCTCCCCAAAGGTGTGCACGTGGACAGGTCGCATTCCTTGGGGTGCCTGGGGTTCTCATTAAACTGATGAACAAAAAGATAGATATAGAGAGACATTAAAGCAACAAGCAGACTGTCAAATTACAGTGGGGAGGGTAGGGAGATATGGGGGAACTAAGAGATCAACCAAAGGACTTGTATGCATGCATATTAGCATAGCCAATGGACACAAAACTCTGGGGAGGGAGGGCATGTACGGGAGTGGGGGGGGGGGTTGGTAAGGTATGTACACATATAATACCTTAATTTAAAAAATGAGGAAAAAAAGTAAAAAATAAACTGAGGGGTTGGACCCTCTGATCGCCTAGAGGAGGCCCAGCCCCGCCATTCCGTGCTGGATTGGGAGCTGGGAGGAAGACTCAGCTGTGGGCACACCGGGCATCTGCGAACAACGGCAAACTCAGAAAAAAGCCGAACCATTGTGAGCTCTCCGCCGAGCGCCGCTGTGCTTTCCCTTCTCCCGCACCCCCCACCTCCCAGCTACAGGTTCCCCCGCGGTGGCTGCCTTCGGGAATATAGCTAATTGGTCGGCAAAGCCTACATTCTGAAGCTCCGCCATCCAGGCAGAGGCCCCAGAGGCCCCCGGGCGGCCACGTGCCTCAGGGAAAGCGCTCGCTGTCAGTCCTGCTTGTTTCTGGCTGAGTGCTCCCTTCCCCGCCTGACTCCTCTGCACTCCCACCCTCGCCAAACTGCTCAGGGGAGGGGGGCCCTGAGGAGCCCTGGTTCATGCAATCCATGTCAGCTGCTGGGGGAGGCCGGCTGCTGGGGGAGGCCGGCTCTTTGCAGCCTCTCCTACCCATGGTGGGGGAGCACGGATCTGGGGAGACAGGCCAGATCCTCCCTTCCTCCAAAGGGGGCTGCTGCAGTGACTGAGGACAGAGCCCCAGGCACAGACGGACGGGTCCAAGGGGCAGTGGACGTGGTCTGGGTTCTAGTTGGGCTCTGCCACTTGCCGGCCGTATGACTGACCTCGGCTGTCACTTGACCTCTTTGCACTGTATTTTTCTGTAACGGTACAAGGGGGATCTTAAATTCTCCCCCACCGACACCCGAGATGTTGCTGTGGCGTGGGATACTGGACATGAAAACTCGTGAACCACACCGCACATTTAAGATGTGTTGCTGCCTTCTTGGGAGAATCACCAGCTCTGTTCCTCAACTTTGCGGATGTCCTCAGCGGCTCTAACACCTTCTAAAGGGCTCTGAAGTGCAGCTTGCCGCCCCTCCCTAACCAGATGGGCTCAGATATCTGTCTCCCTCAGGGACTAGCTCAGCACTCCCTCCCACCCACCCCTCCATCTGCAGGTCCCCAGCAACGTTCATAGGGGGCTCCAGCGCATTGCCGGGCCCCGGCCATACCCCACTTGATGGCTTGCAAAGGCCAATAGTCACTGCCTCACGTTATAACAAAACGTTATTTCCAGGTGGATTGAACATTTAAAGAAAAGGGAAAGCTGCAAGTATGTCAGAGGAAAATGGAGAGCATTTTAAATATCATACAACGAGGCAAGACTCTCTGAGGCAAGATAAGAATCCCCAGGCCATAAAGGAAATCATGCATAGAGTAGAAAACATTTTTTAAAAAGGTAAATTTTCTGTACTACAATGATTCATGCAAGCAGAATTAGGGACAAACCACACAATTGAGTACAATCGTTAAAATATACCACAGACAAAAGATTCGTGTCCAGAATATATAAGGGTTCCAGAGAAATCAATAAGAAAAAGGGCCTAATGGAAAATGGATGGAGGATATGAGTGAGCAATTCTCAGAAGACAAATAGGAAACATACTAAATAGGAAAATATTTAAAAGGGCAGTAGTCTTTGGTATTGCCAGCGTTGTGAGAGAGCAGGCACTCAAGTGCACTCTTGGTGTATAACATGGTAAGAGGCAAATGGAAACAACTTGGCAACACGAATTAACATTTAAAGGCGTATGCCACTGGTCCAGCAATTCCACTTCTAGGGATCCAGCCCTCAGAAATAGTCCCCGGTAATGTTTGTAGCATTTTTTAGTACTTGACATTTTTCTTTTTTAAAGAAAGCACCAAATATTTTTATTATTTCCAACAAAAATAAAATTCCTCTCTCAAACTGCATAAAAGTGTCTAAATTCTTCCGCTCCATTTCTGGTAATCCACCGGAGTTTTATACTGTCAGTAGCACTGGTCTAGCATATGATCAGATTTTGTAAACTCTCCCCCTGTTCATGGAGAGTTTACAAGGAGCATTTCTTCCTCTATAGAAGAAATCTGTACACCTACCTATATGGTCCGTTCACACATAGCTTTTGACTTCATTGGTTCACATTCTCTGATACCTTTTGTGTAATTTGATTAATAGTGGGCTGAGAGTGCTGGCTCACACTGCCAGTTGGGGGTCTGTTCTTTTCTTTCTTTTCATGAACTTCTCACCTTACCTAAGCACTCCATGATCTGTGCAGCACTTTTATGATAGTGAAAAATGGAGACAGCCTGCAGGTCCGTCCATAAGGAAATGAGAGAACAGATCAGGGGCGGCCACACAGAAGGACACTGTGCCGTCATCGAGACTGATGCTGTAGGGCAGCCCTTCTCAAGGGTTCAGCCTCGGAATCACCCAACTCTCTAAAAAATTATTGCTTCTGCTTATCGGGTCCCTGTATCTATCAATATTTAGCATATCTATATATATATAAAAAGCCAGTGACTGTAACAGCCATAACAACCAGTCGCTATGACGCCCACTGTGGCCAGCAAACTGGCCCAATCAGGGGATGGGGCTGGCCAGCCAACATCGCAGCCCCTCCCCACTGCCGACCTGCCCCTGATTGAACTCTTCCACCCCAATCAAGAGCGGACAAACACTCCCTCCCTTACCCCCGTCCCTGCCAGCCCCACCCTCATCAGCCAGCCCCACTAGGATGGGCCCAAAGCACCTCCCCCTGGCCACCCCTGATGGCACCCTCCAACCCCAATTGGGGGTGGGCTGGCCAGCCAACCTTCTGCAGCCCCTCCCGCTGGCCAGCCCCACCCCTGAGCACCTTCTCCACCCCAATAGAGGGTAGGCCAGCCAGCCAATCTCCTAAAGCCCCAACCCTTGCCCAGCCCCACCCCAGATTGGCCCCCCCAACCCCAATCAGGGGCACCCATCCATGGCCCCTCTCTCAAGCCGCTGGCCCTCAATCAGCAACTCTCACTCCACTCAGGGGCGGGGCCGGTGGGCCCACTGCCCACAGCCCTTCCCAATGGCCAGCCCCACCCCCAATCTCAATCAGGGGTAAGGTCCCCTGTCCAATCTCCCCTTCCTCCAGCTAGCCTCTTCCCCCAGCTGGCCTGGCTCTGATCAGCCCTGATTAGGTCAGGCTAGCCAGCCAACCTCCTGTCATTTCCTCCTCCCGACAGGCCCAGTCCTGATCCGCCCCAATTGGGGCCAGGCTGGCCAGACCCCACCCGTGCACAAATTCATGCACTGGGCCTTTAATTTAAAATAAAAACAAAGGAACTTCAAAAATATGCATGTTAATTTACTAAACATAACAACAATAAAACCATCTTATGCTCTCCAAAAAAGCACATATCTTTTGAGGAAAATGTATTTTCCAAAACAAACAAAATTAATGAGAAGAATGGCATTGTTTTTAACACGTTTGTAAATCTCTTAATTAGTCTAAGAGACAATCGGGACTTGTGTATGCACTTCTGCATTCACCTGTTGTGACATCGCACATCACACAGCCTCTGAAAGACACTCCCTCCCTGCCCCGTACACTCCTGGGAACAGAGTGAAAAGGCAGCTCATGTCCTGCAAGTAGTTCTAACCCAGCAGACGCCCTGAAAAGTCCTGGCGATCCCAGAGGCCCCAGACCAGACTTTGAGAACCACTGGTGCAGAGGATATTTAATGAGAGAAAACTTGTTTTAAGTTAAAACAAAAACAAAACACACAACATAGTAAATGCTTAAAATATCCCATTTAAAAATATTTATGTATCCATCTACTGGTCTGAAAAAGACTAGGAGAATATACACCTAATAGTAAAAGTAGCTATCTTTGAATATTAGGAGTGTGAATGCTCTTTTATTGTCTTTGTTTTCCATAACAATATTTTCTAAATTTTTCTTAGATGAACACTTAATGTTTTGTACTTTTTTTGGGGCGGGGAGGGAAGGGGGGTCCTAATAAAAGCAGTTTGCTGATGTGAAGAGGGAGCCACACAGCCCGAAGCTGGCTCCTGTGCAGCATTTCCTTCTGTATGTTGTAAATGTTTTCTCCCAGAGTAACATTTGCTGAAGAAAATGCAAATTTAATCCATAGTGAGGGCATGGGGCGGGGGTGGGGTGATGGCTGGCTGGGAGGATGAGGCTGCTTCTAGATCTGAGTGGTTCATTTAGTTTGAGCCAGGACTCCAGCTTCTGTGGAGCAGGGTCCCATCCCCCAAAGAGGGGCTGCTTTGGATTCAGGGCCAACTCCCCCTTCTCCTGCTGCCTGGACCAAGACTGTTAGTCTCCTGCCCCCTGTGGTGGGAGCTGGGCCTGCAGGCAAGGGCCTGGCTGCTGGGCGTGGGGAGGCAGTGCTAATAAACAACAACAGGAATAATGCTGAATTCAGAAACATCTCATTATCTCAGCAGAGATGAGCTGTTTCACGCTGGTCAATTTTCTCTGAAAGAACGTTATATTGTGTTAGCTCCAGGTTTCCCCCCTCAGTTTGATAGAAATCCCTCTAAAAACAGTTTCCTGTGCAATTCAATACAAGCACAGAAGAGGTGTGGGC